CTGGAACTGGAGTTAAGGATGGTTCATAGCCGCCATCTGGGTGCTGGGAATTGAACCCGGGTCCTCTGCAGGAGCAGTCAGTGCTCTTAACCACTAAGCCATCTCTCCAGCCCCTTATATTTGTTTTTAATGCCTGTATTTATTTTATGATATCTCTCACACTAATCGTAAGTGAATTTTTTAAAGTAAGACTATATCAAGAAATCCTTTTGACCTTGTAGAAATTATTTAAGGATAAATTTATTTTAGAAGAATTTATGATAGAAGAAGTTATTTCAAGAGAAGTCAGGGTTGTTCTGTAACAAGAGAAAGGTCCTAGGTTTGATTCCCCAGCACCACCACAAAGAATCCATGATTCTTCTATAAGTAATAAGGGAAATAGGAATTAAATTTGAAGTGTTTGATTATGGTTCAGAATTTCTGAAATAATGTTAGAGACATGTTGAACATACATTTTGAAATTTTATCTTTTTCTAGCTGAACCTGCAAAAGATGTGTCAGCAGTTCCTGTCTTGAATGCTGCCAAAAGAAACATCCTGGATAGTTCATCTAGTTCTGACTTCACCTCAAGGTAGATTCCAGTGACATCACTACTTCCATTTTATTTTCTAATGAAATCAAGTAATATTTTGACATTAAAGTTAAAATTTTAATTAAACTATAATTATTTTCCCTATTAAGGCCTATTTTAAATTTTTATTTATTGAGATAGGATCTCACTATATAGCCCTGGCTGGCCTGAAACTCGCAATGTATACCAGGCTGACTTTGAAATCATAGAGCTCTGCCTGCCTCTGTGTCCCAAGTGCTATAACTACCACAGTGCCACTGCAGCCACAATGCCCAGCCCTATTTTAATTTAAATGTGCTTGAATTTTGCACTGAAAAGGATGTTTCATAAAGTGTTATTTTTAAATTTTATTTTATGTTTATGAGTGTATTGCCTGTATGTATGTAAGTGCACCCTGTCATGTGATGGCCACAAAGGTCAGAAGAGGGCTTCAGATCCCCTGTACCTGGAGTTGCAGATGGTTGTTAGCCACCATGTGGGTGCTGGGATTCAAACCCGGGTCTTCTGCAAGAACAGCCAGTACTCTTAACTGCTGAGCCATCTCTCCAGCCACCAATAAATAAGTTTTTAATGAACCACACTGAAATGTGGGAGAATATATTCCAAAATCCAAATAAGAAACCTAAAATTAAGCTTTTGCTGCATAACTTGTATAATTGAGAATTATAATTGAAAACTAACTTCCTGTGCATGCTAAGCAAGCACTCTGCCTCTGAGCTACATCCCCAGCCCTAGAGCAATAATTTAATCTTTTTGTACTAAATTGCATAATAGGTACAGAATAGAAAACAATGAAGCAATTTTAAAAATCCATAACAAGTAGTAAATCAGAGGGTAAGGAAAGGAAATCTTTTTTTAATTTTGAAGCAATATATTTTAGATACCAGAAAGTTCTCACAGGTAGGAGCCCTACAGAGGAAATAAAAGAATGCTGCAAGGTTTCAGTCAAGCCTGAGTTTTGTAATCACGAGCACATACTTAAGAAAACTTTACAATTAAGTTTAGAATAAAGTTTATACTTTCATGATGTATTTTATGTCATTAAACCAAAAATAAACACAAAGACTACTTTAAAATTTTTTCTCATAACCTAAAAACTTTTTTTATTTATTTTTGGTTACATATGTATGTGTGTGCTGGGAATAAAGGCATGTGTCATGCCACTAGGCCTGCCTTCTTTTTTCTCAGTGGCTCCTTCTCCCTTTTTCTTTTCTTTCTTTTTTTTTATTTTCTCCCTAGGAGAACCCCTTCCTATAACCTAGCTAGATTCTGTATCCCTTTTTTTTGGAGAGTTACTGTCTACTGCCATTCCAGCTCCTAGTCCCTCTAAATTCTCCAAGTCTCCACATGGTCCTTTATTGTTCTGTAGAACTTTTAAGGAAGGATTCATTAACTTTTCCTCTTTCTAGAAATAATATGGTCACATCTACAGATGTTATTATATCTAAATAAAGGTTTTACAAGAAAGAAAAAAGGATACAGGTAAAGCAAAAGACATTCCAGCAGCTACGTGACTCCCAGGTTAATAAGGAGTTATACAGGATCAAAATCCTTTGTGAAAATGAGACAGTCAAGTCAGCCTTTACAACATTGTAACCACTATTTGAGGAAGAAGAAAAGAAAGATCACATTTTAATAACCAGTTTTGAGTATTCAGGTTCCCCTCAGGTCATAGAGCTGAGAAGGCATAAACTATGGAGCTGACTTCAGAGATGGAATCACAGATATACCCAAGGAACAGTGTATACGTTTACTGACAGGCCTAACAGGTGACCACAGATAAACCAAGAGAGCAAGGTGTGCATCCTGGGAGAAAGGTTCAGAGGGTCATATAGCGTTTGATATTCTTCAGTATTGTTGTGTTCTAGAAAAAACTCATTGATTAAACTTTCATTAAATAGTAAAAGCATGGCCTTGCTATTTGCCTTTGAATTCTTGGCTGCTTGTTCATATTCTCAGTTGATGGTAGCTCGAATGTGATGTGAGTGGGTCACTGTGGTTACTACTGCTTGTCCCCAGACTATTGATTGGGTGCAGGGTGTGCAACTTCACTTGACTGCAGAGAGAACATGGCAGCTTCAAACCTAAAAGGAGAATCTTCATCTTGGTAATTGTCATTATGATTAGAGAAGAAAATGTGTCTAATCCCCTGTATTAAGTGGGTAGGTTAAATAACAGTAAAGCTTCTTATCTTTATATGGACTTCAGGGTGTAGCTCCCTGTCTTAACATAACCACTGGTGGTATACAGACATGAATTCCTGAGCCAAGAGGCTTGTTAGGGTCTTATATAGGGTTCTATTCTACCTAAAGCTTTTGGAGATTTAGATTTGACCGAAATGGTCCAAATTAATGAGTTTCATTTAACTTACATTTTTTTTTTAAGTTTCCCAGTTTTTCATGAAAACAATGTATCAAGACATTGAAAGAACTTCAGATTGTTTACCTAAAAGACATAAAACATAGATAAATATAATTTTATGTAGCTATTTGATTTAAACAAGAGATTTTAATTTTTATGTGTTCTGTATGGGGGGATGTGCAGGTTACAACATACCTTTGGAGGCGTGTTTGTGTGTGTTTTCTGTGTGCTGGGGATGTGCAGGTTACAACATATCTTTGGAGGCCAGAAGACAACTTTGTAATCACTTCTCTCCTACCTGGGAATTGAATTCAGATCACCAGGTTTATGTGAAAAATGCCTTTATCCATTGAGCCATTCTCACGGGCCCAGAAATGTACTTAATATATTTTCAGTGTATTATGAAGTGCATTGGGGAAGGAGCTGTATTTACAGTCTTATCATTTGCCTTTTAGATATGCACGTCCCCAAGCTCATTCTTCAGCCTCAGGTAATGTGTTTGAAAAAGCCTATTGAGGAAAATGCTATTTTACGTAGACTAACTAGGAAATAAATGAGACTATAACAACTTTTTTTCTAAAGAGTTGCTTTTGCAAACATGATAGAAGGGTGGTTTGTAGCTCCAAGCTTGCTTTCGTTTTTTGTTTGTTTGGGATTCTGCTTTGTTTTGTGGTGCTGGGGATTGAGCCAAAGGCTTTGCATATCATGGTAAGCAAGTATACAACCACTGAACTACATCCCTAGAGCTTGTGCTTGCTTTTGTTTTGTTCTGTTCTGTTGGCAGGGTCTCATATACCCCAGGCTGGTCACAAACTTCCTATGTAGCCAAGGATGTCCATGAATTTCTGATCTTCCTGCCTCTACCTCTGAGTGTTGGGAGTACAGGTGTGTGGCAATAGACACTGAGTGGGTGAAGTGCTGGGGATTGAACTAAGGGTCTCATACATGCCAGGCGAGCACTCTACCAACTGAGCTACAATTCCCAGCCCAGTTTTTGGTTGTTTTTTTTTTTTAAAGGAGGTCTTTTTGTGTTGCCCAGACTGGTTTTGAACTACTAATCCTCCTGCCTCAATCTCCTACACACTGGTATTACTACCGTGTGCTACCATACCCAGTATTTTTCTTTTCCCTTTCCTCCTGTTTTTCTCTTTTTTAAAGACAGTCTCCCTGTAGCTCCAGCTGCCGTAGAACTCAGTGTTGACCAGGCTGGCCTGGTTCTCATAGAGATCCATGAGTGCTGGGATTTGGGGAAGAAGTGGTTTACTGGGGATTAAACCCAGGGCCTCTCTCATGCTAGTCATGTGTTCTGTTGCAAATTACACACTCAACGCACTCAACCCCTAACTTTTCGTTATGGTTGTGGAGGTGGTTGTTTTGACACGGGGTTTCCTTTAAGCCCCAGATGACGTAGAACTTACCATATAGACTAGGTTGGGCCTCAGTCTCACAGAGATCCCACTACCTTTGTCTCCTGAGTGCTGGGATTAAAGGTTTGAGTTACCACACCCAGATTCAACTGCTAAACTTCTTTTTAATATTTTATTCATTATTTTTATTATTTTATGTGTATGAGTGTATTGCCTGCATGTATGTGAGTGCACCCGTATTGTGCAATGCCACGGAGGTCAGAAGAGGGCTTTGGATTCCCCTGGAACTGGAGTTAAAGACAGTTCGTAGCCGCCATGTGGGTGCTGAGAATCGAACCCAGGTTCTCTGCAAGAGCAGTCAGTGCTCTTAACTGCTGAGCCATCTCTCCAGCCCCTCAACACCTAAACTTTTTTTAAAAATATTTTATTTATTATTTTTATGTATATGAGTGTATTGCCTGCATGTATGTGAGTGCACCCATGTCATTCAGTGTCACGGAAGTCAGAAGAGGACTTCGGATTCCCCTGGAACCGGAGTTAAGGAAGGTTCGTGGCTGCCATGTGGGTGCTGGGAATCGAACCCGGGTCAAGAGCAGTCAGTGCTCTTAACCTCTGAGCCCTCTCTCCAGCCCCAACCCCTAACCTTTTAAAAAATAATTTTATTTCTTTTTTGTCAGTGTTGGCTGCTGATGAGGTTGCTACTTAACTTTTTAGTGCCATAAATAAGTTCTCAAATATGTTAAATTATGATTTCACTGAATTTTCCTTTCTTCCATTTGAAGGAATTAGAAGATCTTCATCTATGTCTTATGTTGATGGTTTCATAGGAACATGGCCTAAAGAGAAAAGGTAAACAGTTATTTTTAGCATATTCACATTATCAAAAAAATCCAATTTTATCTTACTTTGTCTTTTGTTGTTATTAGCCAAGTTGCCAAATAAAGATTTTAATTAGTACCTAAATTTGAAAAGGGCAGCATGGGTTATAGTATGATAGAGGTAAAAGAGGTTGTTTAAAAGGTAAACTTACCTTAAGAATAAGATTGTGAAAAATGGAGAAAGAAAATAACACTTTCAAATAATTGTTCAATGGTATTTTAAAGATCACTTATTTTCTGCAGTTACTTAAAGATTTTTCTCTTTACATTTTAGAACATCAGTGCACGGTGTTTCATTTGACATTTCTTTTGATAAAGAAGATAGTGCACAGAGATCTGCTCCAAACCAAGGAATCACTCGTTCTGTTAGTAATGAAGGACTTACCCTAAACAACAACCGTGCATCTAAACACATTAGGAAAAATTTGTCCTTCAAGCCAGTAAATGGAGAAGACGATGAAGAAAGCATTGAAGAGGAAGTTAGTGTAGACCCTCACGGTGACTTCAAATCTTACATGCCTCTTAATACAAATGAACTAAATTCTAATGAGAATATTCATTACACGCTTCCAAATGGGGCTTTACAAAATAGAGTACTTCTGGATGAGTTTGGCAATCAGATTGAGACACCAAGCATTGAAGAAGCATTACAGATAATTCATGATACTGAAAAATCTCCTCATACACCTCGACCAGACCAAATTGCTAATGGCTTCTTTCTTCATAGCCAGGAACTGAGCATCCTAAATTCAAATATTAAACTAAATCAGTCTAGTCCTGATAACATTACTGATACAAAAGGTGCCTTGAGTCCCGTAACAGACACTACAGAAGTTGACACTGGAATTCATGTTCCTTCAGAAGACATTCCGGAAACAATGGATGAAGACTCTTCCTTGAGAGATTATACTGTGAGCTTAGACTCTGATATGGATGACGCATCTAAATTTCTACAGGACTATGATATGAGAACCAGCAATCCCAGAGAAGCTTTGAGTCCCTGTCCAAGTACCATTAGTACCAAGTCCCAACCAGGGAGCAGTGCTTCTTCTAGTTCTGGAGTTAAAATGACCAGCTTTGCTGAACAGAAATTCAGGAAACTGAATCATACTGATGGGAAAAGTAGTGGAAGCAGTTCTCAAAAAACTACACCAGAAGGCTCTGAACTTAATATTCCTCATGTGGTATCTTGGGCACAGATTCCAGAAGAAACAGGCATTACTCAAGGACGAGACACTACACAGCTGTTGGCTTCTGAAATGGTGCATCTTAGGATGAAACTAGAAGAAAAGAGACGTGCTATAGAAGCCCAGAAAAAGAAAATGGAAGCCGCTTTTACTAAACAGAGGCAGAAAATGGGAAGGACAGCATTCCTAACTGTAGTGAAAAAGAAAGGGGATGGGATTTCCCCTCTTCGAGAAGAAGCAGCCGGTGCAGAGGATGAGAAAGTATACACTGATCGAGCAAAAGAAAAGGAACCACAAAAAACTGATGGACAAAGGAGCAAGTCTCTGGCAGATATAAAAGAAAGCATGGAGAATCCTCAGGCCAAATGGCTGAAGTCTCCAACCACTCCTGTTGATCCTGAGAAGTCGTGGAACCTAGCAAGTCCTTCGGAAGAGACTTTAAATGAAGGAGAGATTTTAGAATACACAAAGTCCATTGAAAAGTTAAATTCATCCCTACATTTTCTACAACAAGAAATGCAGCGCTTGTCCCTTCAGCAGGAGATGTTAATGCAGATGAGAGAGCAGCAGTCTTGGGTGATCTCACCTCCACAGCCCTCTCCACAGAAGCAGATTCGAGATTTTAAACCTAGACAGGCAGGCCTGTCATCAACTGTTGCACCATTCTCATCGGACTCCCCACGGCCTACTCATCCATCTCCACAGTCTTCTAACAGGAAGAGCACATCTTTTTCTGTTAAAAATCAAAGGACTCCTAGGCCAAATGATTTAAAAATAACACCTTTGAATCGAACCTTGACACCCCCTCGGTCTGTGGACAGTCTTCCTCGGTTAAGGAGGTTTTCACCAAGTCAGGTTCCTATTCAGACACGATCATTTGTATGTTTTGGGGATGACGGAGAGCCTCAATTAAAGGAATCCAAGCCTAAGGAAGAGATTAAAAAAGAGGAATTGGAGTGCAAAGGGACTTCAGAACCACGTGAACAAAATTCTGGCGGAAAGGAGGTCAAACCTCTTGAATCAACAGTTTCTGAAGTCCTGTCACAGCCTGTCACAGAGACTGTGTGTCTGACACCAAATGAGGACCAATTGAGTCAACCCACAGATCCACCCGCTAAACCCATTTTCCCACCTACTACTCCTAAAAATGTTAATCTGATTGAAGTTTCTCTGTCAGATTTGAAGCCCCCTGAAAAGAGTGATGTATCTCTTGAAAAATATGATGGAGAAAGTGATAAAGAACAATTTGATGATGACCAGAAAGTATGCTGTGGATTCTTTTTTAAGGTAATATTAATCCACATAGTTTTGAGCATCCTCATTGGATGGGCTTGTTTATATGTATGTTCTAAGTTGATATGTTTACTTCTTCAGTAGCAGTCCCTTTTGCTACAAGTCTGCCATTCCTGAAATGTGTCTCTTGTAGACTATAGTAATATTCAAGAACACGGTGGTTTCTACAACAATATTCCAGTATGTATTCAGAACTATAACATAGCTTATATTTAGGTTATGTTTCCTGTTTTTGTTCCTCTGTCTCTCTTTTATTACAGCTTTTTTAAAACCTCAGCTATTCATATCTCTTGAAGATAAGATTGATTCCATTACCAATTGTTAAAAATACTCATATACATTAAGGTTTAAAAATTTTTTGATCATGATTTTTGGTTTTTGTTTTTTAATTGTTTACAAGGGAGCTGGAAAGATGGCTCAGCAGTTAAGAGCACTGGCTGCTCTTGCAGAGGACTTGTGTTCAGTTCTCAGCACTCAAATAGTGACTAACAACCATCTGTAACTCCAATTCCAGGGGATCCAACACCCTTTTCTGGAATCCATGGCCACTGCACAACATGGGTGCACTTACATATATCCAGGCAAAACACCCTTGCATATAATTATTTTAAAAATTGTTTACAAACTGAGGAGATAAGATCTTACAAGGTGAAACATTTTTAAAAGTATGTTAGTTTGAACAGTTATTATTGAAATAATTCCCTTCTTTAAAAAAAAAAATTTTCCCTGCAGTATTGGAAGTCAAAGTCAAGGTCTCACATATACATGCTAAGCAAGAGCTTTACCACTGAACTATTCCTTCAGCCACTGAAAAGTCTCCTCTCAAAGTACTGTTTAAGTTGGGTGTAGTGGTGTATGCTTTCAATCCCAGCACTTAGAAGGCAGAGGCAGGTAGATAGGTATCTGTGAGTTTGAGGTCAGCCAAGACTATATTGTGAGATCCTGTCTCAAAATCTCAAAAACGAAACAGTAAAAAAGCACTGTAAAAAGATATAGTACCTGATCTATTGGGTGTGATATTATCTATTTGTATTTCAAATTGTAAAGTATTATTTTTCTATAATTGGAAATGTGTGTGTTTTTATGATTTCTTTTTTCTTTTCCCTTTTTTCTGTATGGGTGGTTAAGGCACTGAAACAGATCATTTCTAATCGTGTACTATAAATTTGGAATATAAATCTTGGTACTAAATATAGTATGTGTAAGTAGTACTGCAACCAAATGACAGATTTGAATCTGAGTAGAATCACATCTTATAATAAAGATCTTACAATTTATTGTAAATAGAATTCTTAATAATAGTAAAACATTTTTCTACTAAATTATCCACTTTTTTCATCTTTATGTGTTTCTCAGTTGCCATATGGAATATCTTTTTTTCTATAATCAGAAATGTTACTCTTTTTTTAATGCTTTGTATTATTTTATGTATATTAGTGTACTGCTTGCATGTATGTATGGTGCCCACAGAGGTCGGAATAGGGCATCAGATCCCCTGGAACTGGAGTTACAGAAAGTTGTTAACCACCATGTGGATGCTGGGAACTGAACCCAAGTCCTCTGCAAGAATAGCCAGTGCTCTTAACTGCTGAGCCATCTTTCCAGCCCCCCATTCTATTCTTCATACTGCCAATTGTCTTCAGTTGAGACTCCTTATTTATTTTTAAATGGGATACTGGATATTGAACCTATGACCACAAGCAAGATAGGCAAGTGCTTTTACCACAGAGCTTATATATATAAAATCTTACATATCATATAATATATAATTTTCTATAATCT